CTGGGATAGTGGGATGCTGGGGTGTCTACTGTAGGTAGAGAAGGTTGAGGAAAACTTCCTGAGGTGGCCTTTGGGCCGGGGCTGAGGGCTGGGGGTGGGGAGGCGAGGAGGCCTGGTGCCAGGGCCCTGATCCCGCAGGCCCTCGCCACCCAGAGCCCAGCTCCGTGCGCTGCTGAGTGTGGCAGCAGCACATTGGGGTGTGTGGGAGCAGCCTGGGCGGGGCAGACATGGACGCAGGTGTGTGGTTGAGGGGAGACCCCGTGCCGGGAGCTTTCACACTGGCCTGGCGCCGGGTTTCCTTTGGGTACCTCCATACGGACGTCTCTGCAGATGGAGAAGACAGAGTGGAGGCTGACAGGCCCTGGGTCTGTCAGGAAAGGGGCGCCTGTCTCTTGGAGGCTTCAGGGCATCCGGGAGACACAGGGGTGCAGCCGGGGCGGTCTGTCTTTAGACCTGCTGCCTTCTTAGCTGCCCCAGACTCACCTTGGGCAGTGACTACGTGGGGATGGGCAGAGCCTCCAGGCTTGAGGGTTGGGTCTCTCTGATCACCCACCGGGGAGGCACCCTGTGTCCCGCACTGGTTGTTCGTGGGCCGGGCTGGTCTGCTGCTGAAGGTCAGGCAGCCTTCCTTCCCTAATGTGTTTATAAAGCGTGTCCAAGCGTGACCTGGCCGGACACCAGCCCGCCGGAGCAGTTGCGGCCCCAGACACTTTGCAGACGTGCACGCCCGCGATTTCCTTTGGACTCGGGGATGCCTTTGGAGGCAGGCAACTCCCTCCTTGCTTTGCGGTTGCAGTGGCTGAAGGGGGAGCTGGTCCTGGGGCAGAGCTGGGACCCGGCGGAGCAGCCCTGCAGCCCCGGGGCGACTTCGCGCTCTCGCCTTTCCTTCCGTCCCCCTTCTCCCCGAGTCGCAGCAGCGCTGCACGTTCCTTCCCCAGGGACTCACTTGACGGCGTTTCTCTCTGTGTCCAGGGCCCGCGGTTCGGGTGCGGAGCCGGGCTCGCCCAGACTTCGCAGCGGACGTCGGCACGGCGGTCGTTTGGAAGGTCCAAGAGATTCAGCATCACCCGCTCGCTGGACGACCTGGAGGTGATTTCATTTCCATTTATTTTGACATTTGAAAAATGAGAACCAATCTGTCAGACGTATCTGAGGTCTCCTCCTCTCTCCCTCCTCCTCAGTGGTAACCCCTGTCCCACGAGGTGGGGTTGGGGCCCTCCTGTTCCCCATCCGTCCCTCCACCTCTGACCCCGGGTGGCATGCGTGGTCTGCACCCGACTGCTGACCGGCAGGTTGGGGGCTGATGGTTGGGACCCACCTGGCAGCACAGAAGCAAGGCCTGATGCCCAGCTTCCGTAAACTCCGCGGCCCAGACCGGCGCACGGCACGCTCTGCTCTGCGGTGGGGGTCACGGCCTGGAGGTGGGCTGGGCTGGGCGATGGCGCCCTCCCGTCGGAAGGCTTCCGTGTTCATCGTGTGTGCAGGACACTGTTCTCAGCCGCTTACGGACACAGGCTTGTTTGAGCCCCACAGAGACCCCCTGTGGCAGGTGCTGTTATTACCCCCTCATCAACTTCAGAAATAGACGTTCCTAGTTCAATGACAGACCAGACCGGGTGGCGCTCGGCACGCCTTGAACCTTGTACGGGTGCAGTCGCACAGTGGGCCTTTGCTCGCACTTTGCTGAACGTCGTGCTGTTCAGGACCGACCCGGGCCCCTTCGGTTCTGTCCCCTAGCCTGCCGTGGGGTGGCCCTTGGTGAATCTAGCCAGGCTTGTATCCCTTCTGTTGACGCCACTCAGAGAGGAGTCAGGAGCTTTAGTGAACAGCCAGGTGTGGTCCCCGTGTGCATGTGTGGGTGCAGGGGACAGCTGTTGTGGTCTCCATGAACACATGTGAGTGTGGGGGACGGCCATGTGCAGTCCCTGTGCGCACACTTGGGCCTGGAGGACAGCTGTTTCAGTCACTGTGTGTTCACATGAGTGTGGAGGCCAGCCACGCACAGTCCCCGTGTGTGCATGTGTGGGCCTGCGGGCTGGCTCTGTGTGCTATGAGCCTGGGGGCTGGCCATACATGGTCTCTGTGCACACATGTGGGTGTGGGGGCAGCCATGCATGGTCTCTGCACACACATGTGGGTGTGGGGGGCGGCCATGCGTGGTCTCTGTGCACACAT